ACTAAGCCTCTACATATAGGCATCGGAAGCCACGAGGAAAGGCTTACATTTATAGTGGCACCTGGCATGGAATGGCCGTTAGTTCTGGGCCTTGCATGGCTGAAAAAATGGAACCCCAAAATCAATTGGAAACAAGGCATCATAAATTTCCAGAGGAATGTGACTTTTGCTGAGAATCCACATAAAAGAACGGAGGGGGCAGAGAATCGAGAAACAGCCATGTCTGGTCACACCATACTAACTGATGGCATACCCATAGAATACAAGGATTTAGCTGAGGTTTTTAGTGAAAAAGCCTCAGATGAGCTCCCCCCGCACTGCGCCACTGACTGTGCAATAGAAATCTTACCCGGCGTGAAACTCCCTAAACCCAAGATGTACAGCATGTCACCGAGGGAGTTGGAAGAGCTGAGAACATTTATTGAGAAAAACCTAGCAAGGGGTTTCATCGAGCCAGCCCGACCAAAAATCGCAGCGCCAGTGCTATTTAGAGAGAAAAAAGATGGCTCAAAATGTCTCTGTGTTGATTTTCGTAATTTGAATACTATCAGTGTAGAGAACATGTATCCCCTCCCCCTTATGAAAGATATATTAGCAAACCTCGCTAAAGGGAAAAATTTTTCAAAGCTGGACTTAAGGGAGGCTTACTACCGTGTCAGAAGGAGGAGCTTAGGGAGATGAAGCGCCGGAAAAGACGCCTGGAGAGTAGTTGGAGGACCAGCCGCTCTGAATCTGACCGAACACTGGTGAGGTCTCATATTAAGACCTACCTAGTGGCGATAAAAGCGGCGAAAACTAGCTATTTTGCCGCTTTTATCGCGTCATCAGATAATCGCCCGGCTGCCCTGTTTAGGGTGACCCGCTCCCTCCTCCATCTGGAAGTGCGGGATGACCCCTTGCAGGGTCGAGCTGAGGATTTTGTGCAGTATCTGTATGACAAAATCGCTCAGATTCGGGAAGGGCTGGCCTCTGACTGGGTATGTCCGGACGGGATGACTGAGGCAGGTCTTGAGAGCGTTATCTGGGGGGAGTTCGATCCTGTGGCTCCTGAGGACATGGACAGGGTCCTGGGACGGCTGAACGCGACCACATGTTTATTGGACCCGTGTCCCTCCTGGTTGGTACTGGCTTCCCGGGAGGTGGCACGAGGCTGGCTCCAGAAGATTGTTAACGCTTCTTTGAGTGAGGGGGTCCTGCCGGCCGCTTTGAAAGAAGCGGTTGTGAGGCCCCTCCTCAAGAAGCCCTCTCTGGATCCGGCTGTTTTGGCTAACTATCGTCCAATCTCCAACCTTCGCTTCGTTGCGAAGGTTGTTGAGAGTGTGGTGGCGCAACAGCTTCCCCGGTACCTGGATGAAGCTGTCTATCTAGACCCGCTCCAGTCCGGCTTCCGGCCTGGGCACAGCACGGAAACGGCATTGGTCGCATTGGTGGATGATCTCTGGAGGGCCCGGGATAGGGGTTGCTCCTCTATCCTGGTCCTGTTAGACCTCTCAGCGGCTTTTGATACCATCGACCATGGTATCATGTTGCACCGGTTGGAGGGGTTGGGAGTGGGGGGCACCGTTCTGCGGTGGTTCTCCTCCTACCTCTCTGACCGGTCGCAATCTGTGTTGACAGGGGGGCAGGGGTCGACCCCGAGGCACCTTGCTTGTGGGGTGCCACAAGGGTCGGTCCTCTCGCCCCTTCTGTTCAACATTTATGTAAAGCCGCTGGGTGAGATCATCCGTGGCTTCAGGGTGGAGTTCCATCAGTACGCTGATGACACCCAGCTGTACATCTCCACCCCAGGCCACCCCAATGATGCCCTTGAAGTGATGTCCCAGTGCCTGGAGGCCATGCGGGCCTGGATGGGGAGAAACAGGCTCCGACTCAACCCCTCCAAGACCGAGTGGCTGTGGCTTCCGGCATCCCGATATAGCCAGTTGATGCCATCGCTGGCTATTGGGGGTGAATCACTCGCCCCCACGGAGGGGGCTCGTAACTTGGGCGTCCTCCTGGATGCACGGCTGTCTTTGGAAGATCATTTGACGGCCGTGGCCAGAGGGGCTTTCTATCAGGTTCGCCTGATACGCCAGTTGCGCCCCTTTCTAGATCGGGACTCCCTACGCACAGTCACTCAGGCACTCGTCACTTCCCGCCTGGACTACTGCAACGCTCTCTACATGGGGCTCCCCCTGGGGTGCACCCGGAGGCTCCAGCTGGTCCAGAACGCGGCCGCGCAGGGGATTATGGGGGCGACGAGGCGCTCCCATGTGACACCTCTCCTGTGCGAGCTGCACTGGCTCCCGGTGGTCTTCCGGGTGCGCTTCAAGGTGTTGGTGACCACCTTTAAAGCGCTCCATGGCTTAGGGCCGGGGTACTTACGAGACCGCCTTCTGCCACCAATAGCCTCCCACCGGCCAGTACGCTCACACAGAGTGGGCCTCCTCAGGGTGCCGTCCGCCAGACAATGTCGGCTGGCGACCCCCAGGGGGAGAGCCTTCTCTGTGGTGGCACCCACCCTCTGGAACAACCTCCCCCCAGAGTTACGTACAATAACAGACCTCCGGATTTTTCGTCGGGCCCTGAAAACCCATTTATTTCAACTAGCTGGGCTGGCTTCAGTCAAATTTTACACTGATTTTAAATTGGAATTGTTTTAATTACGGCCAAAAGATTTAATTATTTTAATCAGTTTTTAGATTTTGTATGTTTTGTATGTATGTCTTGTTTTTATTTTGGCTGTTCACCGCCCTGAGTCCTATATTGGAGAAGGGCGGTATAGAAATTTAAACAAATAAATAAACAAATAAAATAAAATCAATTGGGAAGGAGAGGGGGGAAGAATGGGAAATAAAGATGTATATGATGGGAAATTGTGAGGGGGGAATTGGCAGCTGAGGAAGAACAGAGCACTTTGGAAACTTGTTTGTGTTGGTGCGCTGGCATCTTCAAGGCTGTTTATCCTGAGAGTGGAATTTTACTAGCCCAAACCCCTTAGCGTTTCTCAAAATATCTTGGCAGTGCCAGATTGGCTACATACAGATGGACAATGGGTGGAGGTATAAAGGGAAACCAAGGGTTTATTCTGTATTGGTGCACAGGAATTTTAGATTCCACTTGACTTTACTGCATCCAGTATCTCTGTCTCCATGCAGTTGAGAAATGAAGTGCACCTCTAAAAGGGTGTGTTTGTCTATCTGAATGACATATTGATTTACACTGAGACTATGACAGAGCATGTGAAACTGGTTAGAGCAGTCCTTTAAAAACTCATGGCTGCTCAACTGTATGCTAAACTTTCAAAATACGAGTTCCACCAGAATATAATTGACTTCTTGGGCTACTGCATCTCTCATTAGGGAATAGAGACGGACCCTGAGAAAGTTAGAGTGGTGCTAGAGTGGGCTCCACTCCACACCAGAAAGCAGTTGCAAAGCTTTTGGAGGTTCATGAACTTTTACTGCCAATTTATCCTATCATTCACCCAGACTACCTCCATAACCAATTTGCTAAAGACAAAAGGGGAGGGGAAACCCAAACCAAGCCAGCCACTAAAGTGGATAATGCAATGCCAGGCAGCATTTGAAAAACTCAAACAGTTGTTTGCTGCCGAACCAGTGCTAAAACACCCAGACCCTAACGCCACATTTATTATTTAGGCAGGTGCTAGTGATACACCCATGGGAGCTGTTCTTTTACTAAGGAACAGCAGGGTGCCCTACAATCATGTGCATACACCTCCAGGAAACCGACTGACACTGAGCGGTGATGGGTGGTTTGGGAAAAGGAGTTTATGCAATATGTTGGGCACTCTTAATGTGGAGATATTTCCTGGAGGTGAGCAAGACCCCTTTTGAGGTGTGGACTGATCATAGAAACTTAGAAGCCCTAAAAACATCCAGGAGATTATCGACCAAGCAAGTTTGGTGGGCTCAGTATTTTAACCAATTTAATTTCAGTCTACACTAACTCCCGGGGGAGGGGGGGATTCTTGGATGATGCACTATCCAGGATGCCTCAATACAACAATGCTAAACAGGAAAGTTAGACCAGTTATTCTGTCCCGTCAGCTTGTACACAACCCGAGTGCAGGCGAGAGTGAAACCTCAAATTGGGGGGATAAGTGGTTCCAAGCTCACAAAAATGAATGTACAATACACGAGGGTCTAAATTGGGAGGGGAAATTGGCAGCTGAGGAAGAACAGAGTGCTTTGGAATCCGGTTGGTGCACTGGCATCTTCAAAGCCGTTTACCCTGAGCATGGAATTTTATCAGCCCAAACATCTCAGTGTTTCTCAAAACATTTTGGTAGTGTCAGATTGGCTACACATGGACAGGGGGAGGGCAAAGGGGAACCAAGGGTTTAGTTCTGTATTGGCACATGGGAATTTTAGATTCTGCTTGACTGTACTGCATCCAGCATCTCTTAGTAAAAGTACCTTTTCACTTCAACCAAATGGAGTTGAGTTTTACTTCCCTAGGGGATCAGATTGGGGCAGATCTGACATTGTTGCATATTTTCTGCAATTCTTTTTTTTTCAAAAAGGACTTCCAAACTTTGTGGAAACCTTTATAACCCAGCAGTCCTAACACTAACATAAAACCATAGACTGCACATTCTTGACAAGATAGTAACAGATTTATAATTTGAAAAAAAAAAACACAAATGTATGTTTATTTGCATCTAATATGACAAGTTAGCAATACACTGTACTCTTTTTGGAATACTTACTATCAGTCCTTTAGTCAGTGAAAATACTGCGTACTGGTATTGTAAATACCCTAACAGTTCAGTTCAGAATAATCATATACCAACTGAACTTTGTTTCTGATCAATCTGCAAATTCAGATGTGGGTTCTTCCAACATTTTAATCTAAAATGAGCAAATGCTCCAGCTTGCGAACTGGAGCAACTTGTGTATACATGCACACATTTTAGACCAAAAATTTGTTTCTTTATAAAAAATAATACATAGTAGTTCAACATTCATGATAAGTATTTCTGCTGTAATACTTACTGTAATATCCTGAAACTGAAGCCGCATGGTAGAACCTGCTGCTTGTGGGCAGCTTGTGACCTCCAAGATGGTTCTGAGTAATACATCTAGTAGACTGTTCACAATTACATCTATTTCTTCCAATACTGACTTATCCTTTTATTTTTTTTTGAAAAAGAAAAACAAGATATACACTTTGGTGTACTGAAAATAAATCTAATAATTCCATTTTGTTGTAAAACAAGTCATATTATTAATGGGAACAATTAGATACTGCATGCTAGATATGCCAATTTAAGAGATATTTATTTAAACCTTTCCTATGCAAATACTTTCATGAAGAAAATCTACATGATTGCCAGGCATCAAATTCAATTGGATAATCAATCAATCAATCAATCAATCAATCAATCAATCAATCAATGTAAGGGTGGTGTAACTGGTTCCAAAATATTTAGAGATTTTTATGTTTTAGGAAAAACACTAAACATTGGTAATTATTTGGCAGTCAGTGAGTTGCCTCAATACAATGAGGATGTAAGGCTGATATCTAATACCAAAGACTAGATACTGCATTCCATGCTAGCATTAGCTTCTGAGCCAAACAAGAGTAGTTCCACATAAACCATGTTGCAGTAACAAAAGCAGATTGAAATTTAATAGAGAACTATGTAAAGTTCTTTACTTATAAAAAAAAAATCAGATTCTCAGGAATGGATGGGAGGTAAATGGTTTGGTAATAATATGATTGAAAAAGATATTGTACTGTAATTGATCAAAAAATAAATGTAATAATATATAGCAGCTATAAAAGTGAAAGAGCTAATAGGTTACATGCAAGGAAAATATATTTTCAAATTATCAAAAATAATATCTTCATAATACTTGATATTGGTCAGACTTAACTTCAAATATTATAGGAGAACCACATTAATCTACAGTGGCAAAAAATCAAGAGGAGTCTGGTATCATGTTTTCTGACTATTAATTTTACTAAAAGGCATTTAAGTTTTTATGAATTTCTTCTCACTTCAACAGACATCTCTGATAATATGCCCAGTATTATGAAGTGAGCTGAAATCAGTTGATAAACTGAAGCTGAAGCAAACTGATAAAATAAATATATTTTAAATTAATAATTTATTCTCCTTCTTTCAAAAATATTAAGCATTTTTTATATTTCTGAACCATAATCTTTTTGAAAAATCAATGCTATTTTATTTTTTCAAACAGTTGATGAGATACCTAAGCAAGTATCAACTCCCAAAAGTATAACTTTCTAATAAAATAACATTTCTACAAGTACTGTTCATGCACAGATACATTATAAATAACAATGAAACATACTAAAGGAGCATCTTAATAATAAACTTTAGTCTTACTTCCCTTTGAAATAGACTTCTTAACAATTAAAAGCCCATTTTCTGTGATGTTCCTTCTACTTACAGAACTATTTTTCTTAACGAAGGAAAATATGTTGCTAAGGATATGTGCACACATGATCAGATCCTTTTGCTCTTCCAGATGCATATAAAGGTGATGCAGAACTACTGGTAGCAAAACATACCGAGACTCTGGAAGACAAAATATATACTATGGATACTGTCTTTCTATGATCCAGTGTTCCTGGATGAGTACATTCTTCATGTGACTTACAAGAGAAATTTGACTATTGTTTATTGTCTTTGGGCTTTACTATGGAATATGCTCAGAATCTTAAAAAAAAAAAGTACATTTAAAAACATTAGAAACATTTATAAACATTTGAGTTTGAGCATGAAGTAAATCCAGTGAAAGCTAATGAACAGCCATAAATCAATTTTGGCAGCAGGGCAAAGTTAATTGCCACAGAACATCAAATACTCTATGTGTCTCTACACTTCTGGCAAAGAAAACCCCAAAACATGTTCCCCCTCCCCTTCAATGCTATACAAGTCTGACTAGCAGATAAATAGCTTTAGAACAGAAAGATATTTTTTCCTTCAAAACTTTTTGATCAGTTTACAAATGTACTCATCCACACGTATGCATACATATTGCTTCTACATTTATGTTTCTGAACTCTGTATTGAGTCTGCATCCCTGAGATGAGCACTTGGAAGGCTATCTATGCTCCACTTTAGGTCTTATGAACAGAAAGGAGGAAAGCAGCTCAGAAGTTGGCAGCATTTTGAGATTTGGTCCATTAGGGCTGCACAGAGAAAAAAAAATCCTGTACTTTTTTTATCCATAGTACCTGGCCAAACTGGACCCTTTTTTTTTTGTCCTGGCTTCTCCCACTATACCAAATTTGGTTCTTTTCTATTTGGAGAGTTATCTTTCTGACAGACAGCTAGGAAGACAGAGCCCCAATCCCATTGGGGATTGTTATGTGTGTTAGACCTGGTCTTTGGGTGTTAAGTGAATTTCGTTCTATGAGTATACTGTGTATACATGTACAATGACAATAAAGTTATTATTATTATTATTTATCTGCCTGTCTATTTATCCATCCGTCCATCTGTCTGTCCATCTGTCCATCCATCTGTCCATCCATTCATCCATCTACCTATCATATTTATATAGTTGCCATCTCACAGGAAAGTAACTCTGGGCAGCATACAACACCTATATAATTGGACTGCTGGACTTCTGGTGTTGCAAAAAAATGATTCAAAGGCGTCATGCAGATTCACCATACCTATTTTACTGTAAAATCCAAATGTGATTAAATTTTATCTGCTTTATATACAATCAGAATGTGTCAGGAGCTATTTCAATATTAATTAGCAATGGTATTTGCTTTTCTACCTGGATTGGTATATAATTGGCTTTCCACTGTTTTTCCAATGCACTGAAGTTTCACTGCTTGAAGAGAATCATCCGCATTTGTAATGATTGGCAAGCTCCCTAGAGTATCACACACCAAATTTGCTACTTCTCTCACATCAAAGAGCTTTAACAATTCTGAATATATAGCTGGGAAGGAACTGAGAAAGATTGCCTGGGAACAAACACAGAAAAAATTAAGTATATTACAAATGTTTAAACAGACAGAAAAAGAAATTTAAACTATTTGGATTTAATTTTAAAAATTATACCTTTTCTATTTTCTAAGAAAAACAGATATTTGGAATTTGCTCTTAATAGTTTTAATTTGTTCCAATGGAAAAAAAGAATATAAATAACATTATTATGAGTTATTTGCAGTTCTAAATGAATATGAGAAATCCAAAGACTATGGTGAAAATAGAGAAGGATTAGAATTAAAAAACAAAACAAAAAATAGCCAACTGCAAATGCTGCATCTGAATCATGGAAGACAACTGGAAACAAAACAATTCTATAGCTTGTTAATTTAGCCAAAAGCTTCATATAGAAAGACAGTACTATCAGATATTTGATCCAACTTTTGTTACCAATATGTGAATGAAATGAAATGTCATTATAGCTGAAAATAAATCAGAAGCATTAACATGTCACATTTAAACACTACTATGTTTTTATATATCAGTTACCATGCACAGAAACAATGTGAAAAACAGAAGAAACTGTGTAAGGCAGTATTTTTGCAGAACTTACTTGGGCCTGAGATAAAGCATTGGTTCCTTTAGTTTCTTGGGAAAGGAAGAATCGTACTGACATCAAAAGCTCTTGAATACAACAGCAGAATTCCTCCTCATTTTGTCCACCAGTAGCAAGAGAGAATAGTTTCCGAGACTGAACTATATATTTAAATATATATTCTTGGGCCTATAAAATAAAAATGTGTGATTTTCTATCATTCCCCCTTATAATAATAACATTTTTCTAATAGCACGTTAGATAGCATATAGCCTAACATAGAAAATGAATAGCTCATATCAAAAAAGGGCAACTTTCCATATTCACTCTTTGCTAAATTCATTGGGGTTTTTTAAATTTTTAAAATTTTTTTATTTTATTTTATTGAATTTTTATACCGCCCTTCTGCTGGACTCAGGGCGGTGCATAGCCTAAAATAAAAAACATCCCAATACAAAATTTTAAATTTTAAAAGAATTAAACAATTTTGGCTCAAAATTTAAAACCTCCCGACTAAAATCCATTTACAATTAAAAATATCTAAAGGGGGGGGGGGGTTTACGCCAGCCCAGCTTGATGAAATAGAAAAGTTTTGAGGGCACAGTGAAAAGGACGGAGATCTGGTATCTTACGTATCTCCGGGGGCAGGTCGTTCCAGAGGGCAGGTGCTGCCACAGAGAAGGCCCTCCCCCTGGGGGTTGCCAGCCGACATTGCCTGGCTGACGGCACCCTGAGGAGTCCCTTTCTGTGGGAGCGAACTGGCCGGTGGGAGGCTATCGGCTGCAGAAGGCGGTCCCATAAGTACCCAGGCCCTATGCCATGGAGCACTTTAAAGGTCATAACCAACACCTTGAAGTGCACCCGGAAGACCACAGGAAGCTAATGCAGCTCGTGCAGGAGGGATATCACATGGGACATGTCCAGTCTTTCTAAATTAAGGGGAATTGAAAGGCAGTGTCAGCCTGGTTATCTTTGCTTTATTTCAAGCTTGCTGCCAGCTGCCATGGAAACTATAGGGGGGAAGCAATGGGTATTTGGGAGTTGAGAAAAGTGCAGGAGGTAAAACTGGAATTTCTGAGAAGTGATGGGGAGGCCTGGACTCAAAGAGGTCAGCTTGAGTTCTTTAACTTCTTCAAGGCCAACTGTCCTGGGGTCAGCATGCACGAAGGAGGAGCAATGCACCTGGACCAGAGAAGTTCCCAAAGCATCTTCCTGGCTGATGATTGAACTTTGGTTGCCTGACTACTGAGGGGTGAGCTCTGGGGTTAGTTTCAATTAGTTTCTTTACGTTTTGCTTCAGACCTTGCCTGACTTTTGCTGCAATCAGTTCTTTCCTAGTAAAAGTACCTTTTCTCTGAATCAATGGAGTCAAGGGTTTTCTTTCCTAGGGATTGAAAGGTCTGTTTTAACAGTCAACCTGGAGACTGCAGTCTACAGTGGGGACCAAACATCTAAATGTCCAGCCACGAGAGTGAACTGGAAGAGACCGGAGCTCTGGGTGGATCCCCTCCCAGACTGTGCCACATCCGAGATGAAGCAGAACAGCTGGAGGAGCTAGACATTGACAAGGAACCTATTGGGCCCAGATTGTCATTGGGCATGGGGTGAAAGGAGGACCCAGAGGAATGACTTTCGGGGAAAACTGTCAACTCTTGAAATGACTCTAATGTCAGCGTTCCAGAAAAAACCCCACTCCAAGTAAAGACGCGGAAGCAAGCATTTTCCAAAGTCCTCTTTACTAGAATAGGCAAACTGGCACATCTGGGGAAACCCGAATCTGAAAAGCCCGGGTTTTCCTTCAGTAAGTCAAAGCTCCCAAAACCATCCCCTTTTTCACCCAGTTGGTCACATGCTCCAATCATAGTCTGTTCCATCCCGATCCAGCCCCCTGACCACTCCTTCTCCAGATGCGGGATTGTCCTGACCTTGACCAACAGGAAGAATGCTATTATGTCTACTAAACCCCTCTCCTACTTTCCCACACATGAGAAGGTGGCAGCATTGGAGCTTCCGGCCTAATATGGCTTCCAAAGCTGACATCTAGCTGAAGCCATATTTTTCTCTGCTTCATTTCTGAGTTGCCATGTGGTGGGGGGAGGGGGACTTATGGAATGTAGAATGTTTTCCTCCAAAGTGCCAGACATAACAGTGATAAGGCTCGTGAGAACCAAGGCCAGCTCAACGTGCCCTAGCAATGGCAGGAGGGAGTGCTGAGAAGTTCATCACCAGCTTGGCTAACATGACCTGTGATACAAGGGAGGTGGCCGGTATCTGTTTTTTAATTATACCAAAGCATGGGAATTATTCAGAGTTGATTTCACATTTGAATGTGCCAATATGATGTACCCAATAATAAACAGGATCTTTGAGAAAGTCATAGCCTTGACTTTCTTGAGTCTTGAACTGATTGGGAACATTACTCGGAACCATGACAGGAACTTTTATGTGAGGAAGCAGAAGTTCCCACAGGCCGGAGTGGTGTCAGGGGGACAGAGACAAAGTCCTCCCTCTTGATGTGGACCTGGAAGATGCCATGCTGAGCATACCCTATATCTATTGCAAGAGATGATACAGAATCTGGGAATCTTTCACTGAGATGACCACTCAGGCTCCTCAAACTACCCCAAGCCAAGCCGTGGCAGAGCTGCGGTGACAGCAGTCATGGCAACAGTTGCATCTGCTCTACCTGCACCGGCACCAATACCAGTGATGCCACCACCACCATTTGCTGCTACACGAGCCCCTCCACCTGAAGGAACTGCCCCCTTGAAGATGCTGGGCCCCAAACATTCCAGCCTTGGGAGTGAAGTACAGGGGTTCTTTGTGGCACAAGTCTGGAACTACATGCAGGAGTATGGGGATGAATAGGAGACAGAGGCGGTCCGAGTCAGGTGCATGACCATGGCTGTCAAGGGTGTAGCTCTACTGGACTCGAATTGCCCCAGGTGTGTGATTAACCCTCAGGTGGTGGAAAAGTTGGGACTGAGTCTCAAGCAGTTGAAGGTGCCAATAGCATTTTGCCAACTAGATGGATGTGTGTGTGTGTGTGTGTGTGTGTGTGTGTCTAATTTTATAACTGAGCCAGTGGCAATGAGAATGGGAAAGTGTCAAGATTGAATCACTTTACTTCCTCTGAGTTTCTATCACTACTCAACTTGTCATTCAAGTGGGAAGAGGGAGGGGTGGAATGGAATGCTAAGATTTCGTCTACGGACCATGAGAGCCTGAACCCCTCTAATGTAATGCAATGTAATGTAAAATGAAGATCATTACTACAGGTTTAGTTGGAGAAATGAACTATTCCCATAACAAATGGAAGTTTTATAATTGGACAATGTGAATACCCAGAGGTGGGAATCTATTGTTTAACTAAGTAGTCATTTACGCGGGAAACCCAGAGCTGGGTTTGCTTCTGTAGTTTTGATATGGTGTATCCAATAAAACTTTACTTTTTGGAATTCAAAGCTCCCAAGAGTGTTTACTTTTTTTGGGTTCACTAGTCAGACAGTTGACATTAAACCAGCTCTCCACACAATTTAACAGATCCTACCAGAGAGCTGTAACATAATGATGTCTGGAACCAAGAAGCAAGCTGATGCTGTGGTGAAGCCTGGAGCTGCTCCTCTGCAGGAAGCACCAGCAATGGCCCATGCGGAGTCTGGGGCACAGGCGGTGGTGATGTAATCCAAGCTAAGGGCGGAGAAGGTGGAACAGCCACTGGTGTGGGATCAAGGAACCATGAAAGGATCTCCTAACCCAGTGGTTCTCAACCTTCCTAATGCCGCGACCCTTTAATACAGTTCCTCATGTTGTGATGACCCCCAACCAGGGGTGGGTTCTAAATTTTTTTACTACCAGTTCTGTGGGTGTGGCTTATTTTGTGGGCGTGGCTTGGAGGTCATGTGACTGGGTGGACGTGGCTAGCTGGTCATGTGACCGGGTGGCCATGGCTATGTGTATAGGGACTACTCAGAGGGCTGAAAAAAGTCATTTCTGATACGTCCTCGCGCTTTTGACTGGTCCTCACACTTATGACCATCCTCACATTTATGCCCATGCAGCATTCTTAACAACCATGTCACTCATTTCACAACTGCTTCTTTTCACCATGGTGATAAGATAGGGCAAAAAATGTAAAATGTGAGGACAGTTGTAAATTCGAGAACTGGTCAAAAGTGTGAGGACCAGTCAAAAATAACTTTTTCAGCGCTCTGAGTAGTCCATGTGCACAAAAGGACTACCCAGAGGGCTGAAAAAAGTCATTTCTGACAGGTCCTCGCACTTTTGACCGGTCTTCACACTTATGACTGGTCATCATTTATGCCCATTGTAGCATTCTTAACAACCGTGTCACTCATTTCACAACTGCTTCTCTTCACCATGGTGACAAGATAGGGCAAAAACGTAAAATGTGAGGACAGTCGTAAGTTCGAGGACTGGTCAAAAGTGACCAGACAAAAATAACTTTTTCAGCCCTCTGAGTAGTCCATATGCATAAAAGGATACAGCAATAGAGAGGGATGAAGGAAGGGAAGGGAAATTAGAGTAGGAGTGAGGGTAAGAGAGCGAGGAAGAGAGGAGGAGAAGGAGAAAGGAAGAGGAAGTAGGGAAGAGAAGAGGGGGGAAGAGAAAGTAAGAAGGAAAGAAAAGAGAGAGGTGGTAGGTTTGAGGAGAAAGATTGCTGTACAATAAAAAAAGATGAAAGGGAAAAAAATCAACTCCAAACAAATATGAAGATATTAAGATAAAGAATGAATTGTTAAACTTTAAAGAATAAAAGAGAACAAATATGAATAAATAGCAATAATTAGAAACACACATACAAACATACAATTTATTTTCTTTGAACAGAGTATTTGGCCGAGTCACAAATTTAAACAGTGAACAGTGTTTAATCATCTCAATTAAATTTACAATTTCTATATTTCCTTTTTGCCATATTTATTCCTCATCTATTTTTTAAAAAAAACCAATATTACCCTTCATCCTCATCTCTAATCTTAATCAAATTCAATTTTTCCCTTCTATTCTGTATTATACCCCTTCGCATTGTCATATATTTTTATATCCATCCTCACATTGGTTAATTATGTAATACAGTTGTTTATTACAAATTCAACATTTTAATATAAATCAATTAGTTATATAACTATCTTTTTGTATATTAATCAATATGAACATGAATATTC